CATCAGCCATAAACTAGACATAATTTTATCTTGATAAAGTTGATGAGGGCTGGTTTTACTTCCTCTTCCTGCCTCGTGAGAGTCATTTATAGATTTTTCTGCCAGGCTAACCTCCACCGTCGCTCGTGTTAAAGGTGTAAAACTGCAACTTTCCTACTGATCAATCAATTCAGGCTAAACATTGACATAGAGTCAGGGCAAGCCCTTGGATTTTCTAACATGACGGTGACGTTTGACAATTATCATCCCTCACTAGCTTTCTTCAAGAGTAAATGTTCTTTTGGTTGCAAGTTGTGGGCGTAACAGATAATTTTCAAAGAAAATTTTCACCCAGATTCATAGTTTAGTTGACAATGTGATCAAGAAACGTGGTCTTTCCCCTGGGCTCCTCAGAGCTACGAATGCTGAAACTAATATAGTGCTAAAAATACATTTCTTGTTTTTAATCTTTTTTTTGCTTTGTTGAGATACATTTAAGTTTCTTCTTTACATAGTTAGTTTGTGCTTAATGTTTCTTAAACGCAAGAAATTTATATTCATACATTGGCGTCGTTGTGTTTTAGAGTTTGGCATATTTGTAGTGAAAATGGCTGATTATATAATTATATATTTATATGATACAAGGGTGGATAAACTTTTTCTCCTTCTCCTCTTCCTTCACCAAAGGTAAAAAACATTCTTAGCTTGAGGTCCGTTCAAAAATAAGCCATGGCCTGAATTTAGCCCACCAGCCGTAGTTTTCGGACCCGGGCTGTACTTAATGGTGCGCTGTACCATTAAGTGCACGGAACCAGAAAAGAATCCAATGAACATTCCTCCATTTCTCTATTTCCTTCTGCTTCCTGGAAGCATGCATCACACCCATACATGCTCTTTCTGTGGCTGTGATCAGTTCATCTTGCATTCTGCTCTTTTGAAACCGAATGTGCCTTTCTTGTGTTGACAGCTCACATTCTTGTGGATCACCTACCTCTCCAGCCCCCTTGAAGTGAGGCTCGCTGCAACATAATTGTTCTTCCTTTTATCCTCAGATACCTGTGTTGTATTTGCCCTAGGTAAATATTTTTCTAGCTGTGAATAGGTAATTAAAATCCTGAAGCTTTTATGGCCCTGGATCCTTATCCTTTTGAACAATACTCATCTAGGTGGATGTCTTCCCATAGGCAAAGGTATATGAATTAATGATGACCTGGATGCTGAAGAACCGGGGGCCTTTGCAGTGAGGAAGTGAGGAAGTAGGACACCCCCCTTTAAGGGGCCAAGAATCTCTTTTGGAATTGCCAATCCCCCTCACCTGCTCTGGAATTTTTACAGTCACAAAGAGCCTCCTTTGTGGCAGACAATGAAGGGCAGGGCGCCGGGGCTTCACAGTTTGTGTGTGCACCTGTGTGTTTTAGGGGTGGGTGGATATTTCTCATCAGTTTCACTTGATTTATCGGCTCAGGAGATTCCTGCCTCTGGGATCCCACTCTCTGTAGGGGGCGGGTTGTGGCCTGGGCTCTGGAATCTGGGTTGTGTGAGGAATAAACGGAAAATTGCAAAATAAGTAAGCAATGGATAAAGATTATTAGGCTGTGGTTTCTGCTTCCAGACTTGAAAATGGGGAGGACGGAGTTCAGGGTCAGCTCCACCAGCGCCCTTTGGTCGTCTCTACCTTCGGGGCCATCTCAGGTTCTAGATTCTGTTGGACTCGCCATTGGAATCGTCTGGAAATGGAATTATTACTAATTCCAGAAAGGCTGACACATCACTGGCAGCGTTCAAGCCGGCAGCAACTCTGTGTGACCGCCCCTGTTTTTCCTCAAGATTCGGATTAAAAAAAACCTCAAAAATCAAATTAAAGCAATCGTATTGATGATACAAGATCCCTCGAAAGGAACTGGGTTTCGTCACCTGTCCCGCAGAGCGAGCCGGGCGGTGGTGCGCAGGGTTCAGAAGCCCCAGGGCCCCACCGGCGCGTCCGCTCCCAGACACCTTGGTCGACACTGCCCCCTAGTGGCCAAGGCAGCACCGGGCGCGGAGGGCGAGGAAGGCGCGTGCCCGCCGGACCACGTTGCTTCTTGGAGAAATACGGACTGAAGAGATTTCTCTCTCTCTCTTCAGTCGCCTCCTTCCTTGCCCTCTGCCGATGCCTTTTCCACTCCTGCCTCCCCTCTGCACGCCCTGCACTTTCATTCAGCTGCTGGGGATGGTGTGGCCTGGCCAGCGACCGACTGCCACGGGGCGCGGGGTGTTTTGGGGTTTTTATATAGACATGGGACGCATCTTGATGACACTTCTATTCTTTGCTATTCTTTGTGTATTTTCTCTAAGGCGATTTTTAAAACCAATCAACAATACTTTTTCAGCAGCTGATGCTGTGTGGCCTGTGCAAAGGCCCTGGGTGGGAAGGGGCTTGGCTCTTTAAAAAACACAACTGGAGGAGGCCCAGGAAGTGGAGGGTGGGAGTCACGAACTGAGCAGAGGGAGTGAGCAATGGGATGGAGGGTGGGAGATGACAGCCAGTGATGGGCATGTTCTACATTTTGACTTTTGTAAGAGTGCTGGGAAACTTGGAAGGCTTTTACTTGGTAGTGGTGGTGGTGGGGTGGGGCGTGTGTGGCAGTGGAAGGAGGTTTTCATTTGATAAGAATTACTCTGGTGGTTGTGTGGAGAAGGGACTGCAAGGATGGCAGTGTGAGCTGGGAGCCAGTTAGGAGGCCTCCCTCCCCGGGGCGGGCGGGGGAGGGTTGTGCAGGTGGGATGGGTGGTGTGGCCGAGGGTGGCCCTGTGGACACGGGGAGAGTTCCCAGAGGTGCTTTGGAGGTAGGCTTGCTTGACTGGGTGTGACGGTGCTGGAGGGGGAATGGAATGGTCAGGGATGCCCCTCCAGCTTCTGGCTGGAGCAGCCAGGAGGATGGAGATAGAATTTACTGAGATTGGAAGCAGACTAGGGAGAGGGATCAGGAGTTGTCCTGGGCAAGCGGAGTTTGAGATGTTGAGTAGATGGTAGGATTTAAGGGAAGGAGGTCCGGGCTCTTTTGATGGCGGATAACAGAAACCTGGAGGAAAGGTTCTTTAAAAGTGTTCTGAATTTTCTCCTGGGGTCCAAGGGCAGGGCACAGTGGGGCCTCAAGGAAGGCCGGGGGCACGGGAGGGAGCCCCAGCCATCCTCCACAATGCGTTCTCTGTGCATCTGCCTCATCTTCCTTTTTGCTTGACCCTCTGTCTGGAATGCTCTGTCCTCCTCCCCCAGTGGCTGGCACCCCCCATCCCTCCCGTCTCTGCTCAAATCCTAGACAGGGGAGTCCCGAGCTAACGTTGGCCTGTCCAAACTACTCTTGCTCACATCGCTCCGTTGATTTATTGTTTGGCTTTCATCACAGTTTTATCTATCTGTTCTGTTTGTTTACTTGTTTCTTTTGAGGGAGCTGGCGATCTTCCCTACTGAATGGCCACCTCCCTGCTAGCAGAGGCCACTATTTTATTCACTCTGCTCTGCTTGGGGCTTAGTGTGGTTCTGGAACAGAGCAAGTGCTTTATACATATTTGCTGGGTTGTGAAATCTGCTCCTGAGTTCATCAGAGTGCCCAGCACCACTATGAACACATCGAAAGTGCCAGTAAATACCTAGGGATTAATTTCATGTCTGAAGACTCCTTTGCCACAAGGAAAAAGGGGTGACTGATTCTATTTTTGCATGAAAGTTGACTGGACAGGGACTCAGGGGATGGGGGATGAGGGCCAGTTAGAGAGGCACGTCAGGGTCAGAACAAGAGCATCGCCTGGGGGACAGCAGTAACCGGGGGCTGACCAGTTGGTCATGACCCCACCCCCCCCACGCCTCTTCTGGGCAGAGATGTCCTTAAAGCAAGACTGACATGAAGGGACAGTTTGACATGTGGGCCTCTGTGATGTAAGCCTGGAAATGGGATGTCCTAACACTGGTGACACATAGAGGATCTAGAACATGCATAAGCAGGGGGTTTTTGCTGTTTTCCACCTTCTTTAAAAAAAGAGTTTGACAAATAATTTCCTGTAAATTAAGCAAATATGAAGTGAAAAAAAACTTAACCCGCCATTTCTGGGGACTCCCCTCAGGGTCTGTCACTCCTCAGAGTCACCCCCAAACACCCTGGGTCCCTAAGGTTCCTAATCAAGGAATCGAGTCTATTCCTCCCCCCAGCCTTTGTTTCCTAAGTGTCTGACAGGAATGCGATTCCTTCCAGAGGTGGAGGGCAGTGTCATGTGCTGTGTGTGACATGAGGGACTCTGACACAGGGCCACCCAGCCTATAACAGCTCCCTACTGCTCTGTCAAAATGCTTGAAATGTCCACCATTTATCTTTGGGAGACAGAACTCTCTGGAAAGCTCCATCTTTGCTTGTAGGCGTATCTGGGTAGTTTAACCACCTTAAATATTTCCTTTTCCACCCTAAAGCAGGATCTCAAAGGGACTAGAAGAAACAGAACAGTTAATTTCATCACTAAATGGATGGGGGTTGTGGGGGGTCAGCCACTACGCTCTACAGACCCCCCGCCTTCCTCTGCAGGTCAAGTTTCATCAGGGCCCTGGTACTTTTCCAGGTTGACTCTCTGCCCATGGAGGGGAGTGTGTGCTGGCAGCTGCTGTTGCTGCCTGTGGCTAGCCTGGCAGGTGGACTGGAAGTGAGAAACGGGCCTGGGCCCCTTGGGGGTGTGGTTGCATGGCCGTTGCCTCTCTTTCTGCTCCTGCTGACCTTGCCCTTGAAGCGGCGGATCTTCTCACACTAGCAGGAGTTAAAAAAGAGGCAGGGGCACAAAGGTGAGATGCTTGTCTTTTATTGAAGGGAGCCAGCCAGGGCTGGTGGGGACTCATCCTCCGGGCAGTGGCAGCGGCTTCAGCAGCTGGAAGTCTTCAGCTTCTACATCCTAAGCACACTGTGGGCTCTTTATTATTTTGTCCTAAAGCAAAGAAACAAATAAAACCCAATACAATAGTGAACGAACCTTAAAGTTAGACCAAGATGACAATACACAGAAACATCAATGTCCGCTAAGAGGTTCAGTCCCTCTGGGAGGAGCTAAGCTTGTAAAGGCTTTGATTAGTTCTTGGAAGCCTCTTAACAAAAGGTGAGATGACTGTGCCTTGCTCCCCCGGGGACATTTGCATTGGGACTCTCCTCTCTGGATTGCAAAAGGGGCCAAAAAGACGCTGCAGCCAGGGACTTGGCGAATCCAGTGCTGAGCAGCGTGAGCGGAGGAAGCCGTGTACCATGAGCTTTATGACGTTCTCCTTGGCCTTCTCGGGGAGGGTGTCCACCAGTTTCTTCAACTGGATCCCGGCATCTTTCATGTCTGCGTCAGGGCTGAAGGGTTCCACTGCGACCTCGTAACTGGCAGGCGTCCCCAGGAAGAGGGTTTGAATGACACCTAGAAAACTTGGGCAGGTCTCTGCAGAAGCTGGAGCACAGGAAAGAGAAAGCACGTGAATCTAGGCCCCTTTCCAAGCTGGCCAGCCCCCTGGCTGGGCCCGCCCCAGATGCAAACAGCCGGGCCTGTCAGCAAGAGATAGCTTGTCTTTTGGTCAATGGCGTAGAATGTGAGAAATGGTGGCGCTCCAAGCAGTTGGCTTTTGGGCGCTGTGTGGATACCTTCTGGGTTGCAGCCAGCTTTTTGTGGCTTCCCTGAGCCTTCCTTGCACTTCCTGGGTTTGGGTGGGGCAATGTGCCATTTGTTCTTTCTGTTAGAGTTCTAAGCAGTGTATTGATAGTAGAAGCTGCTGATCTGATTTCCTTTTTTTTTTTTTTTTTGGTGAAGGAGATTGGCCCTGAGCTAACATCTGTTGTCAGTCTTCCTCTATTTTGTACGTGGGTTGCTGCCACAGCATGGCTGCTGACGAGTGGTGTAGATCGGTGCCTGGGATCTGAACCCGGACCACCAAGCAGAGGGTGCTGAACTTAACCACTAGGCCATGGGGCTGGCCCCTGATGGGATTTTTTATGCAGTGTGGGGGCTGGGGAGAGGCCACTGAGGGTTTCAGCTCCCACCAGAAACAGGTCCCCGCCCCCTGAAATATGCAGAAGAGTCACCATTTCCTACTCCTGCTTGCCCCTTCTTCCCACTGAGTCTCAGATCCCATCCTTGAGTTCTCTGCCTCGTGTGCACATTCGGCTTCTCTGCCTGGACTCCAGGACCCCACCCAAAGTGGCTCCAAGTCAAAAACCCTCTCCAGAACCTAGATCCCTGCTTTGCAACTTACTATGTCATCAGGCAAGTTACTTTATCTTTCTGTAGCTCTGCTTTCTCATCTGTAAAATGGGGATAATATCCCTACTTCGTAGGGTTGTTGTAAGATTGAAAAGAGACCTGTGAAAGGGGCTCAGAACAGTGATTCACACATGTAAGTACTAAATAAATATGGGATATTATTACTGCTGTTATTATCTGTGTGCACACACTTATGCACAAATGCATCCCAGATGCACCCCGGAATAGGATAGGACATATTTCAGTCCTATCTTGCTGAGCCACCCCCTCTGTACAAAGCACCGAGATCTTCTAATTAACATACATTTCAGTCCAAAATGATGTTATTTCCCTTTAAAACAAGCGTCTCTGCATGACAGTTGTTCCCACTGTCTCTTGGTTTTTGTTTTCTAACTCTTCTCCCATCCCATTTCACCCCAGGGTCAAACTTATTTATTTGCGGGGTGGGGGGGGGTGCGTGGGGGGTGCGGCCTGGTGGCATAGCGGTTAAGTTTGCTCGCTCCGCTTCGGCGGCCTGGGGTTCACAAGTTTGGATCCTGGGCACGGACCGACACACCGCTTATCAAGCCATGCTCTGGCGGCGTCCCACGTATAAAGTAGAGGAAGGTGGGCACGGATGTTAGCCCAGGGCCAATCTTCCTCAGCAAAAAAGAGGAGGATTGGCAACAGATGTTAGCTCAGGGCTAATCTTCCTCAAAAAAAAAAAACACACACACACACACACACAAAAAACCTTATTTCCTTGAGTATTATGAAACTTTCAAAGTGAGTTCATTGGAATTAGTTAAAAAAATACTTTTTGTTTATTAAAAGAAGAGGCTGATACAGAGTAAAAAACAGTTAGGTGCCCCAAATCCTAAAAGATCAGGGGGCTTGGAAGGAGCTGTGATTGACTCTTCTCTCTCTCTCTTTCCCATTCCTTTCCTCTTAGTGACAGCTGCAACCACTCAGAGACTCGTAATCTCCTTTTTGCAGAGGACAAAAATGTTTAGAAAACTCCACTCTGGGTTGGCAGTTTCCCAAAGGAAAGATCCCTTTCTAGAATATTACTCTCTGCCCAGAATGGGAGATCTTGCCTTGGTTTGAGTTTCTTTTGGGGACATGAGGCCCTGCAGCTCCTTCCAGCCCCTTTGGCTGCCAGACTGGTGTGGAGACCCCAAACTTGGAGGCTACACCAAGTCTCTTGGGGTCTGTCCGAGACGGGCTTTGAGGAACTCATTATTCCTATTCTGTTGGTCGTCAGACACACGCATCTGTGTGGGATCTCCTCCATCCCTCCCTCCAGTCTATTGCATTCCCTGGAATCCTGAGGTCGTTGGCTGCTGAAGATGGGATCCTTTTCAGTTTTCCTCAAAGCCTCAGGGCTCTCCTCAAGTTCCCAAGATGGGCTTGTTCGCCAGACCCAGCTTTCTGGCTGGGAGTCAGCATTCCCAGGCCCTCCCAGCGGCCGCCCCCTCCCCTGAGCAGAACTGGGGTGGCAGGGAGAGTTCCTGAGCCTGGCTTGGGGGCGAGGGGTTCTGGGCACTCACCAGGGCTGCAGTAGAGAGCCAGGGTGACCAGGGCGAGGGCGACAGCGAGTTTCATGGTGGATGGGAGGCTGGCGAGTGAGGCTCTGGCCCTGTCTCTGTAGCCGGTGGTCTTGTGTGAGATGTGCCTATTGAGATGCCTTCTTATACGCTCCAGGCTGCACCCAGAGAGAGGAGGGCAAGGCGTGGGATCCAAATTATGGGACCACACTATTTACTTGGGCATCGGCTCCGTGGAAAAAGTAAATATTCTCTTTTCCCAACCCAGTTTCTGACCCCATGGAAATGAGCTCACACAATGGGCCACTTGGGAGGGGCGGAACCCAGAGTCCTATGTGGAGGCAGTGAGGGGACTGGAGTCAGAGAGCATGGAGACCTGGCCGCCTGTGCCACTCTCTTTGAACCCAAGCACTGGGGCAGTTCAGAGCAACAGGAACAATTGTAGAGGCCGCCTGGACCCCTCACCCCAGGAGAAACGGAGTGGTGGCAACAGGACTAGGATTCAGGACAACTGATATTCCACTGGCTCCTTCCCTTGCTCCTCTCCCAAGAAGGCAGCTGGACCTCAAGCCTTAAGGGTCACATGGTCCAGAGCATCGCTGTGGTCAGACTTGGGGAAGACCCTGGAGAGAAGCATGTTGACAGATGAAGGACTTCTCCAGAATGCCCGTGAGAAACCCAAGCCCCAAATCAGGCTGGAGAAGGCACTGCTTGGGCTAAGTCTGTTCCCACTTCAACTGCTCTCTTGTCCGGCCCTCCCGATGGCCAAATGTATGGGCGCCCCAGTCCTTATCGCGCTTGATCTCTTAATAGCCTTGACCCTCTTGATGTTTCCTTCTTGAACCGTTCTCTCTCCTGCACTCCCACGGTTCAGTTCTCTCCTCCCCAACCGTCCTGGTTCTTCAGATGTTTGTTCTTTGCTGACTGTGCTTCCGTGTTGGTGGTTCCAGGCCTTGGCCATAGCCCCCTTCTTGCCTCCCTTCGACACTCCCTTCCCTCTCCAACGCCCGTGCCTTGGAACATGGCCCTGGCCTGGCCAAAGTTGACTCCTAAATGGCCTTCCCGCCTCCTGGCTTGCCCTCCTCAGCCCTCCTCGGAAAGGCCATCAGAATGATCTTTCTAAAACCCACTGATCATATCATTCTCCTTCTTGAAACCCTTTTCAAGCTCCCTTTTGTGGACAGGGTAACATTCAAGTGCAGTTTACAAGGCCCTTGTCCACTAGCCTTCGTGTATCATTTGAGCCTCATTCCTCCACTTCTGCATGGTGATTTAACCCTATCTTGGTATTTGTGGTTTCAAGATGTTCCATGTTTTTCGTCATGCCTTTCTACCTTTGCACAAGCTATGCCTCATGCCTGGAATACACATCTCCTGCCTTGTTTACTTTTCCAAATCCTATTTGTATTTCAAGATTCAATCAAACGTCTGTTCACTTATTCATTCAATAAATGCTGACACCTACTGCGGAGCAGACACTGTGCTGGGAATTAGGGTGGACACAGAGAGGCGCTGCCTGGAGCTCCTTCAAGAAGAGCTTGCCACCTGGCTGCGAGGAGTGCAGTCAGCAGAGAGCTGCCAGCTGCCAGGAACTTGGGGGTCTGCCCCAGCTGTAGAGAGCTGCCTCACTCAAGGTCATGCCCTTCCTGGGACTGCTCACATCTGGTGACAGAGCAAGGAGGGCAGTTCTGCACCATGTGGGACAACTCTGCTGGCTCCCTTACTCCAACGCTCCCTGCCCAGTTGGCTGAGACTTTGCCAGACCTGCATCGCAGGCTGGCTTTTCTTTCTGTCCTGTCCAGCGTCCGCCCCCTTCCCTTCACAGTTACTGATCCCTAATGATAATCTTACACCCCAGACTCCATCTCGGCATCTGCTTTCTTGATAGCATCAACACACGACAGGGATGCAGGGATGAAGGAAGCAGGCCCAGGTCCCTGCTGCTGCAGAGCTTCAGTCTGGTGGGGGAGATGGACAAGAAAACAGGGATGTAAATGAAATACTTACAAGTGTGCTCACTGCTAGGGGAGGACTTAGCAGGGCGCTAGGACAAAAAGGAGAGTGAGACCCACTTAGGTGGGGGAATCAGGGTGCTCCTCTGTGAGCAGGTGATTGATGCTGAGGCCCGCAGAGGGAGGGGGTCTGTGCGAAGGGGATGCCAGCACTGAGGCATCAAGTGGGAAGGACCTGGGTGGGCCTGAGGAGCACAGAGGGGCCATTGGAACTTGTGGAGTCAAGATGTTCCATGTTTTTCGTCATGCCTTTCTACCTTTGCACAGTGTACCAGATGTACAGGACCGTTGGGGACCAGATCTCACAGGGCCTCCCACTAAGGTCACGGAAAACTCTGGAAGTTTTTTTTAATGCTTTTTTTTATTGTGTCAAAATACACATAATGTAAAATTTACCATCTTAACCATTTTTATGTGTACAGGTCAGTGGTATTAAATACATTCACATTGCTGTGCAACCGTCACCATCATCCATCCCCATAACTCTTTCATCTTGTAAAATTGAAACTCTGTACCCATTAAACATTAACTCCCCGTTCTCCCCTCCTCCAGCCCCTGGAAACCACCATTCTACTTTCCGTCTCTATGATTACACTACTTTAAGTATCTCATATAAGTGGAATCATACAGCATTTGTCTTTTTGTGACTGGCTTATTTCACTAAGCATAATGTTCTCAAGGTTCATCCATGTAGCATATTGCAGAATTTCTTTCCCTTTTAAGGCTGAATAAGAGTCCATTGTATGTATAAACACATTTTGTTTATCCATTTGTCCCTCGATGGACACTGGGGTTGTGTCCCTGTTTTAGCTATTGTGGATAATGCTGCTATGAACATGGGCATACAATCTGGAAGATTTTAATCGGGAGTGATGTGTCTGATTTCTCCTTTGATGAGATGGCGCTGCCTACTCTGAGAAGGGATGGGGGTGGGGGGGAGATGGCAGAGCAGCTCAGCAGAAGAGATGGTGGGGTTCGGACCAGCCGATGGCAGTGGGGTGAGGATGTGAGACACATGGGCAGGCTGGATGCTGGATAGAACAAGGCTGATCAGGGAGAGGGGGGCGTAGAATGAGCCCTGTGGGTTTCCAACTGGGACAGCTGGCTGCATGGGGTGGTGTTCCCTGACCAAGGAAGACTTGGGAGGAATGGGATTGGGGATGGGAACAGAGTGAAGCCTTCTGCCATCTGTGGTTCCCGTCAGTATTCTCTCTCACCATGAGCCTCTACACCCCTCTCTTATGTGCCCACCATATGCTGTTTTGACTCTGCAATTGTTTACTTGTTCAACTCTTTTACGTAATGGTTGCTAAACAGGAACCTGTGTAGCGTGAATTGATGAATGAGGCCTTCGCATCACGTGATATTTGGAGGCTCAGAGGCGCTTTCATGTGGTTCAGAACACAGGTTCTAAAACTAGCCACCCATGAGGAATTGTTGAGTAAGTTACCGTATGTCCGTACAATGTGTAGCTGAAAAATCAGGACAGGAAGACCTTCTGAATGGATAGAGAAATGATCTCCAAGGCAGGCCGCAAATGGAAAAAAAAAGCCAAGGCAGAACAGAGTGAAAAACAGAATAAAAAAGAGCAAAAAGAATCCACATGGGGGTTGCTTGTATATGTATAAAAATCTCTGAAAATGGGTGGCATTGGTTGTTTCCAGGAAGAAGACCCATGTGGAGGGTCACTGAGAGAAGACTTCACTGTAAGCACTTTGGTACCCTTTGAATTTGGAGTCACACAAATATATTATCGATTCAAAACTAATTTTTAAAAAGAACGAACAGATCTGACACGTGCTATACATGGATGAGCCTTGAGGTTGAGCTAAGTGAAATAAGCCAGTCGCAAAAAGACAAATGCTGTATGATTCCATTTGTATGAGGTATCTAGAGTCGTCAGATTGATAGAGTTGGAAAGAACAATGGTGGTTGCCAGGGGCTGGGGGGAGGAGAACGGAGAGTTTATGTTTGTTTAATGGAGACAGAGTCTTAGTTTGGGATGATAACAAAGTCCTGGGGGTGGATGGTGGGGATGGTCGCACAACGATGTGAATGTACTTAATACCACCGAACTATACACTTAAAAATGGTTAGACTGTAAATTTTAGGTTATATGTATTTTACCGCAATTAAAAAATAATAATAAAAAGAGAGAGAACAGGCTCTAGAATGAGGCTATCTGAGTTGAATCCCAGACCCATTGCTTACTAGCTGTATTATCTTGGGCAAAGTACTTCACTCCTGTCTGTCTCGATTTCCTTGTCTGTACAAGGATATCTATTGCATCTGGCCAAAAGGATGAAATCTATGTAATGCACTTTAAGTGGCACCTGGCATGGAGAACGTATTCAGTGAATGTTATCGAGTATTGTGTTTGCATGTTTCCACATTGAAGGCGCAAGAGGAAAGCCTTTCAATTCTGAGTTTCCTTGTTCAAGTCTATACACGCGTGACTCTGGTGGGGTGCAGAGGATCTTGGGTAAGCCGTGCTGCTTTCATACCTGGGCCATTAGGATGAGCTTTCCCTTTCTGCCTGCCACCCTGCTGTGTCCCTCACATACACCTGTGGGCTTAGTTGACTCCTGTGTTCCTGACCTGACCCCGGGGCAGGGGTTGGTAAGTGAGGTTATGTGAAGCCAGAGTGCTTCCGAGCTCCACCTGTAGGTAAGCCATGCAAAAAGGCTTAGAATACCCAGGAGTATTTTTACATCTCCATCCTTGAGCCGTAGAGCAAGGGCATCTCCATGTATCCTCCCCTAAACCAGCTCTTAGAAAGGGAGGGCCTCCCGGACACATGACATGACCACTTAGTTACACAGCCCCAGAGGCCATGCAGAGAATGGCGCAACAAGTGTCATTGAGGCAGTTCATCAGGTCAAGAACCCTAAACACGTCTGTTCCCTCCAGGGCACTCTGTGTGCTGTTCTCCAAGGTTGTGTTATAGGAATTGTGTACATCCTGTTCTTGTTCCTGCCATCTCCCTCTGGATGCTCCTTCTCTGGTTCCAAGGGTCCCAAGACAGGCACTTCCATCCCGGCCCTTCGGAGAGCCTTAAATGGTGGTAGGGGCGTTTCTCTCCCCTGCCCCGGAGGGTACAGAGCAACTGCTTCTCTGACTTGCTTTGTGGGACAATTAAGCAAAGAGTGTTAGTCAAGGCTCAGAGCTCAGAGCTTCTTACACTCTAACACCTGCTCTTCAAATCCTTAAGCCCCACACGCTGTGA